GGCAAGGCAAGAGTCAATAACTCGATAAGGGGTCATAAATACGCATAACTAGAAACTAAACCTGCTGCCTTGAGGCAGCGCAAATCAAAAAATCATGCAATGTGAAGTGTAATTTGAAATTCAAAAAGCTAGTCGTAGTTTTGAAAAGGACATTAATTGAGACAAATCTAATGATGTATAACACAAGACTTCACCATAGGCGCTTTAATTGCCCCGCGACACTCGTGGGCCCGTTGCCCCCACTAGGTATCATTTCAATTTATATCGTGTCAACATTTTATTTTAAAAGCTAATAGTCTAAACTTGATCTCTAAATTATCCCTATAAATATTACTTTCAAAATATAATTCACAGTAATTTCATAAGCTTCATCTGCAGTAATCGAAAAGAATTTTGTTTAGCAGCCAAAAAATTTTTATCTGGGCTAAAACAGTTATTCAAAAATAACTTAATAACGCAAACACTTAGCAAAACGTAAATCCGTACATTTGATCCCAGTGAAACTGTCGGCCGGCGGTAGAGAACACGGTCCAATATCTGCCATAATTAGCGAGAAACCCGCTATGGGCCCATGACCCGCAGTGGGCTCGTTGCCCCATGTTACCCTACCTGAACGACGCATGTTTTTAACAAATGAACAAACTTGTTGGGTAATTCATGGTGGCAGGGTGGCCCAGTGGTTATAGTTCAGAGTACCAAAATTGGCGCAGAGAGGCGCGGGTTCGATCCCAGCTCTGTGCGCCAGTTTCTGGTCAGAATCGGCAAGGAGGCCGGCGGTTAAGCAAAGCAAAATTGAGTTGCGAACGGTTCATCTATTAGTGAAAAATAAGCCGCTGTCTGCAGTGAAGATGATAAATTTTGCGCTAACTCGGGAAATAGGGAGAATTTAAATAGTAATGAAAATGTTTACCTCGACGTAACTAAAAAAAATCTATGCACAATTAATGTGCAGCTCATACTTCACTATTCTCGCGCACTTTCGGCCACGTCACTACGCTGCCAGACGCTGCCGCTGAAATTTACACTGCTCTTACCCAGTGTGCCGAGTTTAGAGTTGGAGCGTCCGTGAACGGGCCTCTTAAGCACAGCAGAATTGTAGCAGTGCGTTGCGAGTTCGAGACCTCAAAATGCTGTGAATGTTCTGCGATGTTAAGAATCGGCTACAGGCCTACGGCCTAATAAACGCTGAAACCGCTATTTATTTATTTTATTTATTTATGTGCATTTATGTTGTTCGTAATTTACCGAAAAACGCAGATTGATCACTGAGATTCTCGATATAAAATACTCAAATGAGCGTTTTATTCATTTTACGTGGACCGATTTGTAATTAAGACGCGGATGCTTGGATTAGCTCCTGCTAATTTGTATGTTCAACACCACAACTACGTGCAAGTTTCATTGGCAAATTTTCAGTTACTGTGCAAATTTCTACATTTTTATGTACAAAACGTCATTATATACAATGTGCCAATTCACCCCGACGACATTCCAAAAAAAAAAAAACAGTAGTAACATAGTTTGGTTCCTACGAATATATCACGATGAACTTCGGACTCTGCTCTGCCAGTCAAACATTTCAGCGTTTCTTGGATGAAGCTCTTCGTGACTTATCAGCGCCAACAAGCGAAGGAGGTTCCCGTCCAGTCACCTTCTTCAACTACATCGACGACATCCTGGTAGCATCAGACGACGATGAAAGACATGCGTGCCTTGTTCACGCGTTTCACCCACGACGGCCTGAAAATTAACGCGGTGAAATGCGAACAAGGCGCGTCACATAGCCTCAGATCAATGAGCTGTGGGTAACTCCAGCTAACAGTAAATCCGCTTTGTACAACACAGCCACTGCTTCACAGAGCCGGAGCACAACTGGCCGGAGCGCAACAGGCCCTACCGCAACAGGCGGCGCAGGTTAGGTTAGGCTACGTTAGGAGTAGCTGTTGCGGTAGGGCCTGTTGCGCTCCGGCCAGTTGTGCTCCGGCCTGTATGCGCTTCGGCCTGTGACTGAACGGCGCTGTTGTGGTGGGCGCTTTGTGTCAAAAGCCGTGAAGATGCCCGGCTGCGTTACGCACGGGAAGGTATATGAATCGCACTGTGGACTTGGGCTATGCTCACCTCTAGCTATCCACCCGTGCACGGCAGGATGCATGCAGTTCCACTGGCGGGCTGGGCTGGTTGGTCGCAGTCCGTTGTCCGCAAGTTACAGTTCGAAGTAAAGTCAGGGTATGAAGTGATGATTCGATGCAACCTTCAGTGGTGCATAACCATTACTCTCTGGGCTATTCGCTTCAGAATGTGGTGGCGTGAAGTTCCTAATATATAAAGCAAGATGATGTCACGGGCTGGTTACCGACGGATGGCTTAATACGCGGCTGATTTGTGGTCATCCGGAAATATGCTAGGCGTTCCTTTCAAGGCTGATTGATGCACAAATTTGGTGGTTCACGGCTGCGTACCCGTACGGAAGACGCGTACAGATCCGTTTCATACAGATCCGTTGAATATTGAAGGAATTATGAGTGTCCCAGTTGCTTAAAAAATACGTTTATTAGTTTTAATTAAAAAATAATTCATGTAAAAATCTGTAATAATTCCTGCGACAGCGTATCAATAATTAATACCCCCATTTAAAAATTCATACGGATCCGTTAAGCATTGAAGGAATTATGAGTGTCCCAGTTGCTTAAAAAATACGTTTATTGGTTTTAATCAAAAAATAACTCATGTAAAAATCTGTAATAATTCCTGCGGCAGCGTATCGATAATTTATACTCACATTCAAAAATTCATACAGATCCGTTAAGTATTGAAGGAATTATGAGTGTCCCAGTTGCGCGAGTTCGCAGTCGTGTCCGTAGAATTGTCGATTGAGTCCCAGCGGACGAATAAAATTGAGATTGCGTTCCTTACGGCGAAAAAGGAATAAATGCTGAGTTCTAAATGATGTGCATATCGGAAGATTCCTAATTGGAAGTCTTATAAGATTTCTATTTCATTCTCACTGAACGATTCCCACTTCCTTTCTTCCGTTTTATTTAAAACCATAATAATGATGAATGGTAATTGAGACATTCCTCCCGATGTATTGTAAGGTAAAGTAAAAACTGAATACTGAAGGCACATGGTCAATCGAATACCTCGAAGTAATGACAAGTAGATAATTTATTTCTATTTGTGTGATTTAAATTTTTTGTAGTCAGAGTAAGGAGTTTCGAAAGGATATAAATAGCCAATTACCGATCGTTGATAATATGTGATTTTTCACCAAATTTGGTTATTCATTCCATAAATCTCTTCAATTGGATAAATTTCAAATGTATTTCTTTCGTCGAGTTTTTTCATATGTTCCTATGTTGAAAATCTAAAAAAAGAGGTCGTGCTGCATTGTGAGTGCTGACTGCTGACATCTGCAATATTGCTGGAACCAAAAGTTTTGTAGAAGTCTTCTAAAACGAGTTGTTCAATGGTGGAGTAGTGCCAGGTGACATTCGCATCGTCACGACAATGGGAGTTCCCGATTAGGAAATTCGAGTGTCAAATTACTTCATAAGACTTTCAGACTTTGTGAGCATGAATTATAGTATTATTTATCCATCAATTCCTTGTCATGGACTCCGTTAAGCGTTCTAAATGTTCAAATGAACCGTCCAAAATACTTGGTCACCATGCTTCTTGTCGCAGTGGTTCGTCGCAAAAAACAGGTGAAATCGCTCCAGTTCACATCAATAATTCTCTAATACATTCTCTTCATGACCAAAACTCAACCACCTACGTCATGGAATCTAAAAAACAATCTGCTCTGACTAATTCGCCATCTGTAATGACTGAAGTTATTCCGTCATCAATAGCATCTCCCGCACTTCTTAGGAAGAAACAAAATGCGGGATTATCAGAGATATCGAGTGATTTTCGGGATAAATTGAACTTTAGAAATACTAATGGTGTATTGAATGGAATTAAAATGGGCACTACTGATGCTGAAGTTCACCACTCAGGAATTGCTTCCTCATCAAACTGTGCCAGCAACTCAACTTCACATGGAAATATAGTTCCCTCCCACACAAGCTCTGTGTCTGTTAGATCTAAATTTCTTCCTCCAAATCCCCTTAGTAATATAGCAAATTCTACTATAATAGCCAACAGTGCTAATGAAACAAATTCTAGTCCTAACCTCACTACTCCTCCTCCCCCTCCTCCCTCATTTCAAGATATACCCCCACTTAGCCCACCTCATGAACCACCCCCTCCTCCTCCATGTGAAGAACCTGGTGGATATCCTTACATAAAATCTGTTGCATCTAGAGCCATTGGAGCAGACAGTCCTTGTTCTTCTAAGTCAAGTCAAGATGGTGGAACAGGCGTCTGCAATGGCCACACAGTTTCTGAGGCAACAAGCAATACCAGCATTGCTGCTAGTTCTGAATTTTCAATAAGTTCAGAGAGGTCAACAGACTCGTCATACTCTGGTGCTCGTGCAAGAACCAGACACACATCTAACAGCTCAAGTCAAAGTACCCAGCCTCGGAGCGACCTTGATCTCAGCCTTGCAAGTGACGTAATACTTAAAACACCTGAAATAAATGTCAGCCCATTGCCCAACCATGATGATCTTCAGTTGGAATATGCTAACTATGAGAATGAGACTCAGATGGCTGCAATTATGGCCCTCATCCAAAAAGATTTATCTGAGCCATATTCTATTTACACATATAGATATTTTATCCATAATTGGCCACATTTGTGCTTTCTGGTGAGTGCATTTGTTTGAGATTTATATAATTAGGTATCTTATAAAATTGCTAGACAATGTAATAATATTTTAGCCAATCAAGAATATCAGATCATTTGTTTTAAAAATTTTGGATGTGCATCAACATTGTACAATTGGATTACTTTTTTGTACATATAAACTTTTTTATTTCTACTGATTTCATTCCTAGATTTATATTTTTTATTGTATTAACATGTACAAATGACTATTTTCTATAATGTAAATTGTTTTCCAAGTGATTTAAGTTCTTCTATTTTTTTCAGGCATTGGTCAACAAGGAGATCATTGGTGCAGTCGTGTGCAAGCTTGACATGCACAAGAAGGGCACTGTCAGAGGCTATATAGCTATGCTTGCTGTAGACCAAAGATACCGCAAAAGAAAAATAGGTATGATATCAGTTCATGTTTTGGTATGATGTAAGTGCATGTCATGTTCATCAACCTCCATAAGACTAGTAGTAATTGCATGTTAGAAATTCATGTAGTAAATTTGAAATGGTTCCCCAGAAGTTGGAATTGTTAAAAAATTTGTATAATTTATGATTCTTCTTTGGTACCATTAGTAAGTAGTAACTGATTTATTTTAGGTATTATAGTTTTATGAAATGCAGTTAAATCATCTTTGGTCCAAATAATACCAACTATTAAATGGGAGAGATTGTGTGATGAAGATTGAACTGTAATAGGAGTTGTGGATTCAAAAAACCTTAGCTTATTAATTTATTTTGAAACTTTTAATTTCTTCAAATTTTTTCATCCAAATAACACATTCATTTGTAAATCAGAATTTTATTATTTTTCTTAACAATAATTTGATCCAGTTACTTGACGCACACCTAGAAATTTCATTCTATTAAAGGATGTAGTTATTTTGTAGTCAAAAGAACTAGTTTCTATAAAATTTCTATTTATTTGCAAACATAAAATTTCAAATGAAGGTTTCAGGTTGAAACTGTATGTTGTGTGCAGGTTCCAATTTAGTGCAGCTGGCTATGAGGGCAATGGCTGCAGATGATGCTGATGAAGTGGTGCTGGAGACTGAAATAACCAACCAGCCTGCACTGCGCCTCTATCAAGCCTTGGGCTTTGTTCGAGATAAGCGTCTCTTTAGGTCAGAAGTGGGAACACATCACTGCAGCTTTTGCAACAATATATTTTAAACTCGGAGAAAACCGCAAGGAAATTCACCATATCTTTGCGAAAATATTTTGGGATGGCGCCATTATTGGTTAAAAATTTTCTAGAGAATACTGGTGCAATCAGCAGTGAAAATCCAAGTATAAACTATTGATGAAGCCAGTCTGTAAATTGCTTTCATAAAGATGTGGTGAATTTACACAGCGTTTTCTCTACTATTAAATTCTTGATGCAGATGCAATTTAAGCAGATTAATGATATAAGAGACAATATATTTGTGTTGAGATTGCAATGCTTCTTGTTGGTTCTTCCACTATATTAATGTGGATGACGTGCAAAATTAGTTTCCCTGAAGTAATTGATATTTGCTTGTGCAGATACTACTTGAATGGTGTTGACGCACTACGTTTAAAATTATGGCTCAGATAAAAGCTGAGGCTAAGTCGTTTCCTGGAGGTCATGCAATGAACGTTCCTCTGCACTGTCAGCAACAACGTATGCCTATTGACTAACCATCTAATCTTTAAGCTACATTAGAATTTATGCCGCTCCTTGTAGATCAGCGCTCTTACTACGTACTTTGGAACGCCATGCACCAAGAGAAATTTAGCTTCACTCTTCCTTTAAAAGTGGCTTCAAATATCATTCAGGGAACGGTTTATCATCAATGAGCAGGTTTTTATTTCACATGTTATTAATGACTGACACTAAAGTTGTTGAGAAATTAAAGTAACTTGATGAATTATGGACCATGACAGTTACTCATTCTGCATAAGATTTCCGTCTTCTGAATGATTTCTGTATCCATCTTATTATACTGTAAGTGTTGTGCGAGTGCCGTTTAAGTGAGGCGAGTATCTAGCTTCCTACTAGCAAGTCTCCAATTCTGGCACAATTATTTGTTGGTGAGTTACCTTTTCGATTTAACTCATGAGTTATGCCGTCTGCAATTCCTAGAATTTGGCTGTCTAAATCCATAGAATTGTGTTAATTATATGCAGAAAGTAGCAAGTATCGTAATTATTTATTCCGAATTTTCCATTGTTTCCATAACAAATTGTCGAATTACCCGCCTATTCTATAGCCATGCTTGATAAGCTAGTCTTTGAGACGCCGTTGGCCATGTGTGGAATGAAGTACCTTCTGTGACATGCGGTGACGAATAGATAGCGCTTTCTAACGTCTCTCTTGTCCTCCTTAGAATTACTGACCTAAGCACGGGAGAGTTTAAAGATATATCAAAATTCTTTCTACTTACGATTTCAGTTTCTGTTATATGTCACTATTGCATTTTCAGCGAATTGAGGTGGTTTTTAGTGTTTTCATTAATTCTTAGTTGAAACATTTCAGTTTTTCTTGAATATTTAACTTGTCGTTGAAAAATCCAAAATTATCACGTGTGTTTTAATTATTATTATTTTTTATTTTTGGAGTTGGTCATATTGCAATATTTTTTATGAAGAAGTTAGGTGATATTTGATCCCCAGGTATCGTCATCGCTCGTGAATTACTTTGTTGGAAAATAGTGCTGCACGCTGCCTAATCTTTCAAGAATCAATGCCCTCGGCTCGAATTAATTTCGAATTATTTCTTTTGCTGCAACTTCGAACGCACATACGGAGTAATCAGAAGTCATTCTGACGCTGACATTTTTTTCATATTCAATATAACCCTATAATTTTTATGAGAAATAATTTCCTTCATGATGGTGCGTTTGTCTAAAACTCCAACGTTTCTTTTTATTGTGTAAATATACATTATTATCCTCAATTTTGTTTTGTTTTTTATCAGTTTGAACCTCACTTTCTATTAAATTGCGCTGCTGCTACAGGAGCGTTAGCGTTGTAGATTGATCATTTGGAATGCTACCAATCTTGTTTGGATTATTTAAGCCACTTTACCAACACTTTTCTTCATAGTCTTGAGCCATCGATTTGTTGATGATAAGATGCGATAAATAATGGCCACACATATGATCACTAATGTAACTTATATTTTTTCATTTGGTGCATGAGAAAACATTTTGGTACTTTGAGATTAGTTCTGGAATTTTTTTTCGCGCTTTGGCTTCTGTTCAGTACTCCATTTCGTGACTATTCATATCCTAACTGTTCGCTAGCATTCATGCTCTATAGTGGGTTTGCATTAATGTCTTAACCATTTTAATTCGTTATCTTTATATGCGTTTCTGAATTATTAATGTCGCTTAAAACCAATGTATCAGCTGTTTTCAAACTTGGCACATAATATATAAGCACACAATTGTTGGTGCAAGGGACAAAAGGTTCGAACACAACCCTGTTTTTGAGAACAATAGGCTGTTATTGGGAACAACTTCGTAGTACGGGTTTTGACATTAGAACAACGTTGGTGTCGACTTCAAATTCATGCGGTCGAATGTTAGTAAAATTAACCCTTTGAATGGTGAAATAGCCAGAAACATTATCCGTGTTAGGATAATGTAATGTTCTAATTCTTTGCCGTTTATCTTTGTGCCTTGAAGCGTAGAGAAAATGTCAAGTCGTTCCTGTTAGCTGCCGGCGAGATCCATTCCCGGTATTGGTACAAGTGTTTTGTCATTAACTGGCTTAAAAGAATTTCCATTAATATCACAAATTATTTTACACCAAATTTATCAGTGGCATTATTATTGTTGGACATTTACCAGCCTAATAAATTTAAAACTAATGTCTTTCAGTCGCAGAATCAACGTCTATCCGGAAGAGTTTCAAAAGTAGTAATTTTTTCACAATGGTATAGCAGGACGTGTATTTCTTGAGAAAAAAATGTTGATGCGAAGATCATGATGACAGCTGATTGTAATCGTTGTGTCAGATCTACCAACTGAATGGGATCGAGCGGCTCCAACTAAATCAAAATACTGTTCTGTGAGAATGGAGTCTAATTGTCGTCTATTTATCTATATTTTGCCTTGCAACTTCTGAGCACTGAGATGTATGAGTCTCGAGATCGCTGTACAGACTGCCCATTCACATATTCTATGTATGAGGACTGTTCATGCTCGTATAGCTTTCCGATTTGCTTCTATCTAATCTTGCGCTGTTCCTTAACTACCCGGATAAATAGATGCTGCTCATTATATCACGTTGGATTATACCACTGCTGTCAGGTTATGCACTTTAATAATGAATTTGGACTTACCCGATTCAAGTACAATTGTTAATTCTGTGTATCAATGGACACTAAATCAGTCTTGTTGCCGACATTAAACGAAGGATTAAACCTCCAGCTGTTGTCAAACACTGCGAGCAACTGCGTCTTTGTCAGCATAAACAGTTCGACCGTCAGCAAACAAGAGCGTGAGTAAAATCAAATGAATAGTTCGTGCTCACATCAAACGATTTGCAGAAAGTTTAACTTCGGATGACTATGAAGGTTACTACTTTTAGATTGAACGTTCATTTTTTGACATTCTATTGATCGACAGAATAGATCTCATATTACCTACTCAAGATAAACTGCGAATCAACTAGGTCGAAATTTACTTTACTTTAGTCTCAACTCGTAAACTTCTTCCGAAGAATAAACCTAAGTGCATATTCATTTCGCATATACAAATTGCAGCTTGTAGAAATGTTTTATAGGCGTGAATATATAACTTAGGAAAGAATTGCTTCGGCTAGGACACGCGTGTTACTCCAATATATATATATATAAAATATAAAAACCTATATTAAGCTACCTCGCTGGCCCGAAGAACTTAGGTAGAGGCGCAAAGGCTAATTAAACTTGCGAACTTGATTTACTTGCGACATTTGCTATCCGATCTTTCACTTCTCCATTCAACTTGAAAGCATTGAGACCTTTTATGCGCGCGCAGACAGCGCTTATTTAATTAAACCGATCTCTTACTCGCGAGGAGTAAACTGACTTTAAATTTCTATTTATTACTCAAAAAGTCTCAAAATTCGCTGAAGAATACGGCGAAAATTACGTTACAATTATCTTTTTTTTTTTTTCATTCGAATCGCCACGGATATTTTTCTTTGTGGTCTACTATATTCCCACGTAAAACTATAAACATTAATATAAAAAATGTACTTGAGAATTTATATTCTCGATTCAAATGCTCTACGAGAGTCGCACATGCATGTTACTCTAATATTTAAGCGACCACCGACCACGAACCATTAGTTTTTCTGTGCAATCAGATTACAGCTTCTAAAGTATGTAGTAAAGTATATCGTACGCCTTCTGCCGGCGTTCCGCTGTCACGTTTTGCTCGTATTGTAAATAAATTCATTTTTAATTGTGTGTGTCGTTTAACATACATGCCTGGAAATACTAGTAGTGTTTTATTGTATTTATACGTGCATCTGTACATATAAAATAATTATGATTCCAAACTAACAGCTGATAACAGAGGTTAGTATTCGAGTACTCAGATCAAGGATTGTGTTAGGAGTTCTATAAGGGAAGAAACTCCGTTTAATTGAATCTGTGTGCTTCCGCTTTGTACAACTTTCATGTGAATTTAAGGAACAATATTAAACGAAGGTGAATGGAACGCTGAAACATTTTAAAATTGTATTTGACTGACAGAGAACACGGGATGAAACATATATTTGTATATTAAATGGGCGTAGATAAGTTTCTTAACAACACACAAGCGCAACTTAGGAGCGATCACGAATAATTTAATTCAAGTTTGGCCTAATAAAATTTGAATTATCAATAATTTGTAGAGAAGGCTAATACCGGTTCTATCACAGAGTATTCCAATGTATAAATATTCTTAATTTTTGCATGAGAAACTGCATGAGATGATATTCTTAATTTCTGCATCGATTCGAGAAACGATGATTTGAATTTGTGACGTGTATATATAGCTGGTTTCCTCATTTAACACTCAACGGATTTATATTCTGGGAACGATGAACTCGCAGGGCTTGCAGGACTTTACTGAACACCATACCTAAGCATGCCACATTTCATATTCTAGCCTATGATAGAAAGTTATGGCGTTACAACAAGAAATTTGATGAAACTTTAAATAAGAGTTTAATTCTAAAAATCAGTAAGTGTCTTCATGAAGCACGAACTGGTAAAATCAAACACGTCTCTTGCGGCATCAGATAGCGCACAATTCTTGAGCCGAGCGAGGTGGTATCGTATCACAGGTGTTATCGTATCATAAATGAAGTTTCCATGTGATAATTATATATACTATACATCATAAAACTTATAGTATATGAGAAATAAAAACGTTAATAATACCACCAAGTAATATTCGTTCAACGTACAACTTCATCCATTCATCATTAGATTGTTTTGTTGGTGAAAAATTCTGATGATGAAGCATGATAAACATCTCAAGCTCGAATAAACATGACTCAAATCAACAGGTTAATATCAACTTGTAGAAATGTATACAGACAACCGAAACCGTATAGCAACTTATATTAAGATGAATGTAAAGAGTATGCCTGTAATCTACCTGCGCTCTGCGGTCCTCTGGATGTATTTAGGCAGAATCTACCCGCTGCTTGCTGCAGCAAATCAAGTCCAGGAAGATCCGGAATCGAGATCTGGATTCGTTGGTCGACGGTTGTGTTCCGCCACGCCGAGCAGCGAAGTCATTAGGTATATAAATCGAAGCAATTGGATAATTAATTCCAATATCAGACCTTAGCATCGGTTGATCAGTTACAGGCCTGCTCGGTGCCGGTCGGCGTGGGGTTCCTCGTTCGGGAGGAATTACTTGATGCGTGTATCTGGGTTGGCTCTGGAGGCTTGCAGGTAATTGCTCTACAGTGGTACGATTGCGTTGAACGGCACTCTTTGGTCGAGTAGTTGGAGCGACTGGTGCTGGTGGTTTTAATGGACTAACGTTTGCAGTCGTCGCGGCTACTACTCCACTATTTGATAACTGTTTCCGCGTTGGAGATGAGTCATTTATCGGGTTCAGTTTTCGAGACGAAGGATTAATTACAAGTTGCTGAACAATAGAGTCCCAGTCTGATTTTTCTCCGAGATCTCTCTTCAACATTGATGTAATTTGTGGAGATTGAACATTATTTGGAAGGCCGCGAACATGATTTTTCGGTGCTGAATCTGAAACGAGCCTCTTGCGGCAAAGACTGCTCGCTGGAACAGCGGTCTTCAACACCATCTTGATTTTCTCCTCGCATTCATCTTGAGTCCATTGGTAGGGACACTCGCGGTTTTGGGCAGTATTGAACTTGAAACATTTGTAGGACTGGAAATTCGATTCTTTTCCATCCCTCCTGCGGTGTTCTCCATAGCTAGGAGTGTTTGCGTCGGAATGATTGTTGGCAACTGCTCTACAGTTCAGATAAAGCCACTTGATATCAGCATCGTCTACTTCTATGGCGATCTGGAGCTCATGAGGGCCCCGTTTAACTTTGTTCTTACAGTACGACGCGTAACGGAAACCAGACCAAGATTTTGTCATTGGTGAATCGTTCGAATCCAAGTCAACTTTTTTAAGCGTACCATCATAATTATTTGCTGTGAACACAACTCGAGTGTAACTCCTCGAGTTGTAAATGGCCTGGTCGATAAGGTAAAGGTTAGGGCCTAGTTTATGCAGCACGGTTTCCCACTTGATGGTGAAGCTAACGTTGCCGTAGAAATTGTGCTCGTAACTAGAGTTAGATGGCGCGAACCACAGAACCTGAAAAAAATTGAATCACAACTGAGGTTAAACCATGAACAACTTAGATCGCATAATAAGGAAACGCTTTTGGGAACATTGAGAACAAATAGATATATATCAAATAAAATTGATGTATATCATGAACGATTTTGTCAAGAAGGAAAATTCAGTTTCAGGATATAATAGTTGAAAAAATTCTCACCCAGCTGTTTCCGAATATAATCGACTATGAACTGCACAGTGAAAAAATTGCACAAGTGCAATTGCACAAAATTGCATAATTACAGCTGCATTCAATTCTTAAACAAATATTTATTCCAAGTGAAATTATGCTTAAATTTTCAGAGCAGAAAATAACTATTAAACTTATTTATAGTGTCGAAAATAGTACAGTTTTAAGGAATCATTGTCTTTCAAATTTAAGCGTTAACTGCAATCTTGAGCCATTAGTATAATTAGCCTTAAAATTATTTTCATTTATTTCAATACGTAATTAATCGAATAGCCTGGCACCCATTCTAGCGACTTTGTGGGATAGCGGGCTTGCGCTCTCGGCATTTCCTCTAGAGATATGAGAATTGCAAGTTCCGCGACTAATTATGCGCAGTCGCCGTAGCCTTTCCTGCAGTGACCAACTCCTCGGGTCAGCCTCATTTTCTGCAACCTATACGTTGAGAGGCCATGATCGGACTTCGTTGATTATTCGCCGCCTTTGGACTTCAGTCATGAAGGGCTAGTCCCTTAGCTTCCCCGCATGATCTCCCGAGCCACGGTCGTGAGCACCCACCATCTTCTGCCATAAGCTCCAGCTTCAGCTTCATACGAGACGTAAGTCCGCGGTATCACTTTGTCGAGGGAGTGCGTGCCAGACTGTTTCGGCAGCTGACCTAGCATTACTCTTCCCCTTGACCTACTGAAATAAAGGTGCTCTACATATTAGTCTTCTATTTCTATATATGAGAATATTTGAATATCATTTAGTTTTAACGGCATGCTAGCATGCAGTGTATTTTAAGAGATAGACGGGCTGTGCCCAAAGCTATAATTTGAATTGATAGTTGATAAATAGATATATTGATCGATAATAGATTTATAAATGGATTTAACTAGGTAGATTCTAAATTAGCAATAGATAAAATGATAATTTGAATAAATTTATGCTAGAATTCTATCCCAATTGATTATAAGATACCTTCCTAGTCTAATAGATATCTCTTAACTGTATTTGCAGCACTGAACGGAACTGCATGGGTTCATTGGCCGCGGGGCGATCACGTCACGACTCACGAGGTGGTTGGGTTCATATCCGACCATGCGCATTCTCCCGGCCCATTCATGCTATACCGGCCTACCAATGATTTACTTTATGATATAAACGAAATAAAATTAGCCACAATCAACTGTATTTCAATGCCATCTTTGACCCCATGCGCTTAGTTTTCGTTATATAGTGCCTTTTGTAATATAACGGCGGCAGTTGACGATAATTGTTAAGAGGTTATACCTGACGATTAAAAGACTATATGAGAATACGTACCTGTTGTCGCAGTCTCGTGTGGCTGTTGGAGAGCCTCTGTGGCACAAGAGCTTGCTTGCGCGTAGCTTCTTCGAAGTCGTCGAAATGAACGCAGCGGCTAATTTCATCGAGATCAGTATAACTAGGGTTGTCTAAAGGTTGCACAGTTTGAAAACTAGTTCGTCTTACCATTTTTAATTTAATATTTTACGAGGTGCAGAAAATTTTATCGGTTTCAAAGCCGCGTATCTCTAAAAATGTCAAAGAGGAAATACAATATTACATAAAAGTGATGCAAAACGTAAAGAATATTGATTGTACAACGTAATTGATTGCTGCATGATATCCCAAAGAATTAGGAAGTAAGCATGCATGTTGAGACGTTTTCAACGTCTTGAACGGAAACATGTGCGTTGCCAATTATAAATACAATTCGTACGTCGGTGTTTTGTTTTCTACGAATGTGTTTTGTTCACAGCCGTTTTCAGTTGACAAATAAATTTTTTAATATTTTAACGTCGAATCATATTTTAATTGTACATTATATTCATTTATAATTGGAAAAAAGTAGCCTTCGTAGATGTGAGTGCACTGTTTTTTCTACCTGCGTGCTTGTGCTTCTTTCCAAATCATATGAACAACTTTTCCCAAAATAAGAAAAATTAGTTACAATTTGCTTCATTCTTTTATCTACTCGGGAATCGGGATTTACTCGGAAAACGGTTTTCAGAAAAATATCGCTTATACAAGCATAAATGCACAACCTAATCCACCGCTGCTAAATGTAAATAAATTGTGGGAATTACCTTCAAACTCAGCCCTGTTTCAGCTTAGAAGCTTTACCGGAAGAATTCCATTAACTGTTAACATGGTTAACGGGCCTTTGATTTTTTCTTCTTTCTCAAATTTTGAAAAAATTTGGATTTTGGATTAGTTATGAATTTATAAAAACATCGCGGTCATCCGTGTGATATCAAATACTGTCGTCAATCAATAAAAAAAAACACAGCACCTAAAGTCCTAAACCTATTGTTTTCACCCGTCACCGTGGGCCACTCAGCCTCAGGCTCAAAATTGACATAGCCTAACCGTAATTCACACTCGACTCTCCATTTCACTAAAATCAAACGAGCTAAATGTTCTGCTGACGAAATAAATTTAACTTATCATACATTTTTAATAACATTTTGAAAATTCAAGCACTCGTTAGTGACTTTCTGCCTAAATATTAAAGTACCTAGGTAGGTTAGTAGGTATCATCTAATTCTAAGGTTATGTCTACTATGTGGCTCCGGCGGCAATTCGTTAACAACAAAGAAGATAGAGAACCGAAAACATTTTCGGCTCACTCAATCCTTATGATGCATCAAGTTATATTTGTTTCATTTCAATACTATCTTCATATCGACTGTTCAGTTACACTTGCTAAGTTGCTTATGAAGATGTCTATTTAGGATACAGAGACTCATTGATTGCACCACACTTATTTTCCATGTCTTCACGTCATGAGAGCTCTCTCACACTGAATTAGCAGCGGCCCTGCGGCCAGGCGCCAGCGCATGCTGCGCATCGAACGAAACGCAGGTTTGTAACGCGTTTAAAAGAGCTATTGCGACGTGTTGATCGTTCATACGATACATTAATTCGTAATAACAATGCGAAATATCACACCTTTCCAAGTTGATATGGATTATCAACTGTTTTTTTTATTGTGGAAATACTATCATATGGAACGAGATTTTTTTTTGGCAGAAATGATTTCACTCGATATATATTCAATTTAACAATTCCAAAGAAGCAAACAATTTTGCTGTCGTTTTCATTCAAAAATTCAGGTATGTGATCGTAAATCAAAATAGGGTGGATAACTTTCATACGAAGTCAATCTACCTGTTCAAACTGACTTTCTTAGTAGAATCAGTGTAGAAGTCTAGGAGACAGCGTCATGCTGAGGCGCTCCGACTAGAAAACATTTTCTCTGAAAAAGAAAATTGTATCAGAAACTATTATTAGACAAGACTACATTAGATCTTCTGTGCATGAATTTGACGCAAAGGTGTGGTTAGCTATTTTAGCTTTAGAATAACTTTCATATTGGTATTGTTAAAAAGGCTAATAATAACTGGGATTGCACATCAAAGACAATTTTCCGGACGGTGGGGGTGCATTTTGTCAACACTACGTATGATGGGTCCGTCATGGGTGCACCGTGCATGTTGTGAACTTGTAAATACCACGTAGGGCCCGGTAGGGGTGTATGTTTTCAACACCAAGTAGGTGTGCTCGTGTGCATGTTATCAACGCCACGTATGGGTGCATGTTGTCAGCACTAGGTAAGGGCGCATGATATCAACACCACGTAGGGGTGCATTTTAGCAACACTACGTAGGGGCGAGTGCTATCAACACAACGTAGGGTGCATGTTGCTACCACTACGTAAGGGTGCATGTTGTCAACACAGCGTAGAAGCGAAAACATTTTTTATTCTGGGAAAATGAAGCTGGTAGCAAGGAAATTTAAAAGGGTTAATATAATACAATATAATATACGGACTGGTACGCAAGACGCATACCAGTCCACAAGACGCGTACAGGTCGTCGGACTGGTACGCAAGACGCATACCAGTCCACAAGACGCGTACAGCTAGGTCGTCGGACTGGTACGCAAGACGCGTACTCAATCCTTAGGCCTCGAATTGAGTAAACAATTGAAGCCCCAAGGAGTCTGTTAGCGATTACAGCTGCCAGAATGTGTAAATAGGGAAGCAGCTGCCAAGTTCAAGAATACAATGCTTGATCAAAACACCAAAATGGCTGCGAGGCAACAACGCATAATACACAATATCACCCTGCATTAAATCGTCCCTCAATGAGATTGTGAATTAGAAACACTGGAAACGACTTCTATGCAACGAAGAAAACTACACAATTTCTTTAATATGCCCTCAGACAGCATAGGCTGTAGATTGTGCCACACATGAAGTTTCTGCAGGTATTCTACATGTGATACAGAATTCGTCAGGAGTGGTATCGCACGTCAGAGTGACAGACTGTTGAGCAACTTAAGGGACTTAATGTGACCGACTTTGGTTGAGCCATCAGAATGGATGAAAGCACACCAAGGTGTAGTCAAGATACCAAAACGCCAAGCAAGATATCACGCCATGCAGTAGACCACGACAAGCAGGAGACCACGACAAGCAGGAGACCACGACAAGCAGGAGACCACGACAAAAAGGAGACCACGACAAGCAGGAGACCACGACAAGCAGGAGACCACGACAAGCAGGGGACCACGACATGTAAGAAACCACGACAAGCAGGAGATCACGACAATCAGGAGACCACGACAAGCAGGAGATCACGACAATCAGGAGACCACGACAAGCAGGAGATCACGACAATCAGGAGACCACGACTAGCAGTAGACCACGACAAGCAGGAGATCACGACAATCAGGAGACCACGACAAGCAGTAGACCACGACAAGCAGGAGACCACGACAAGCAGGAGATCACGACAATCAGGAGATCACGACAATCAGGAGGCCACGACAAGCAGTAGACCACGACAAGCAGTAGACCACGACAAGCAGGAGATCACGACAAGCAGGAGACTACGACAAGGAGTAGACTTATGTATTACAACACCAGGATGTGGACCACGCAAGAGCCGAGACCACTCTAGGGTGGAGACCGCGTCAGAGAAGATGTCATCAATCCAGGTGTGGAGCTGCACTGTGTATTACCCACAGCTGGGAACACCTACCATACCTGAAGGCACCAGTTGCACCTGGAGCCACCAACCAAACCTGGGGCACTCACCACACCTGGGGAGGCCAACCACGCCAAGGAGTTGGCCAGAATATTTGATCGTGATTGTGAGTCAGGATGGTTGCGGTAAAATGCCGGGAGTGTTGATAAGTGATCAGGAGTTAGTCTCATTCAAGAACCTCAGCCGGCTGAGCGCATCTGAACCGGACAGTAATGTTCCATTTATTGGCTTTTAGAGATTTTCGTAATGACGTTACAGTCCACCGCAACCAGCTGCTGTCATAAAAGTTCAGCACTTCACATCTCTCCCTTCATCGTTCTGAACATCCTTTTTTGATAAAAAATTGAGAATGTGCCATATAAACAGCCAAGAGAGCATCAGAGGTTGCTCTATGGGAAATAAAATTCTGCCAACGATTTATAGCTTACACCTCGAAACGAATTCATAACACAAAATTCATAACACAATTAATTAATTAATTAAATTAATTAATTAATTCATAACACAAAATGTGAATTGATTCATGTAAATCACGTGCAAAGTCAAACCAGAATGAAAGTACCAAGAATTAAATCCCGATCTTAGAGTTCAAGGGGGGTTTCAAAAAGACTTGCAAGTACCATGATTGCTACTCTACAGTAAGAATATATAACGTTCACAATGAATATATAACGTTCTGTGCAGGGTGGCCCAGTGGTTAACGTTCAGAGTACCAAGATTGGCTCAGAGAGGTGCGGGCTCGATCCCAGCTCTGTGCGCCAGTTTCTGGTCAGAATCGGCAAGGAGGCCGGGCGGTTAAGCAAAGCAAAATTGAAGCAGTGAGTTGCGAGTTCAAGCCCGCAACAAGCTGTGGATGTTCTGCAATGTAAAGAATCGGCGACAGGCCTCCGGCCTATTTAATAAACGCTGAAACCGCTAAAAGAGATGAAATTGATCATCGTTAGCGAACCTAGGTTCGCAAACGAAGCGAATAACATACAGTATTTTCTTACATGGCATGTTTGATCATTGGAAAACCTTTCAGAGCAAGCAAAGATTTACGAGTTGACAAATGTGAACTCTATAGTAAGAGAGAGATATCAGTGTTAATTTAGCTAAATCTGGACTGTCGCTGATTCAGAACCTGTCAGAATATTCACAGCTATCGGAGGCTTAGAACCTGCCACTTACTACTTTAATCTTGCCGTTCCTAACCCCCCTGACCTTATCGCGAATGTCTAATTAAAAATTAATGTTATAGCAACCTTAGTTCAAACCCATGGTTGAACTAATAATTATAGTTCAACCATTTTTAAACCAGTAACTCATTATTTCGGTATTGGCTCTCTGGAACTTTGAACACTCGCCTACTCTGACAACCACGGGCTAAACTGATCTAGCTCGCGAATAAATTTCTCCTCCATTAATCGAGTATAGTGATCCGCTGCAACTTCGCATGAGGCCTCACTATAAAAATTTATGACAGATTGTAGGGAAACAATCACGAAGCCCTCAAAATTTGGTAATTAGGCGCTTAAGTTTCCTGCACAATAAGACATGGCAGGGAATAACTAAACCATTAAAAATTAAACTTTAAACTTCATTAAAGAACATACATGAACTATGTCATTATTTGGTTTAATTTCTTATCAGGATAAAATGTTTCATATCAATGAACATTTGGCCATGTAAATAACTAAAATAAAATACTTAAAAAAAACTTTTTAAAATAACACGTTTTTCTGGTGGACTAAAAAGTAGAAAATAAATTATGGTTCGCCCCAAAAAAACGTGTGTCGTGCAGATTTATGATTAAAGCGAAAAGCACACAACACTTAAATTTGGGAAATTTGATGGTGAACGTACAGCACGACCCACGTTTTTTTGGGGCGAACCATAATTTATTTTCTACTTTTTAGTCCACCAGAAAAACGTGTTATTTTAAAAAGTTTTTTTTTAAGTATTTTATTTTCTACTTTTTAGTCCACAATAAAAACGATTAAGACTTGATTAAGTATGACTTGACGTACGTATCGATGATACGCGCCTGCTCGTCTATAACGTGAGCGCCCGCACGTCATACTATATATATACTATATATATACTTTACTCAATTAAACTAATTTCGGTCTCTAATTACTAGTTTTTATGATTGTATCTGAAATTGTTAGGCGAAAATAGCCTGCATGCCAAATTTCAGATCTCTAGAACAATCAGAAGTGGGCTAATTTTCGTTGTCAATTTTAACAACAAACAAACAAACAAACAAATAAACAAACAAACAAACAAACGCGAAGCTAAGCTAAGAAAAACGTGTTAAAAAAGAAGGTGACACTGCTACAATGAATTTTACTTAATACGGCTGATGTTGTGCCTATTAATCTTCACAACCAAGGAAATGCTGTAGATTCAAGTGAGATGCTCCAACCATGTAAATACGATACCATTTGTCATTATCAGTAATTATGAATAAGTAAACATGGTAATTGTGAATAAGTAGACGTTTAAGTAGACATAAACATATACCTGTAGAACATGCCCAGAGGTGGCAGTAGCGCGCTACATTTAGCGGCCGCTACATTTTCAGTAGCGGTAGCGGTAGCGGCGCTACATTTTAAGCAATGTGGTGGTAGCGGTAGCGCCCGCTACATATTTAAGTAGCGCTACGAGGTTTTGCCGCTACAGCGCTAACGCTACATTTATAGATTAAGCCATTAGATTTTAATTAATAGTATTGAATATTATTTAAAAACCAGCATGATACATACATAATATAAAATACTGAATAAAACTGTACGAAAGATTTCGGTGTAATGTTTTCAACCTCAGCCTGTTACTAGTGTCAACATGTTAGTTGTTACTTGTTAAGTTGTTACCAGTTACCACTTACAGGTATTTTTCATGTTTCAGTTTGCTTACAGTTATTTTCACACAGTTATTTTTATGTTTCACCTTCCCTACATGGATGTCTACTTTAATCTACCAATCTCAAAAATAATCCACACATATATGCAAATAAAAGACTGATTTTTTATATGTATATATGGATAATTTTTTAGATTGGTAGATTAAAGTAGACATCCATGTAGGGAAGGTAAAACATAAAAATAACTGTAACTTTTATTTACTGTATCTAACCCGTACTAGTTCGGTTAGGTTAATTGCAATAAAGTTGCATTGATATGTTTTGAAAATGTTTCATTATTATTAAATATTTATGACTAAATCCCAATAGCAGAACAATAAATATTTAGAGATTTCCAATAATTTTGGCCATTGTAGCGGCTAATGTCGGCGCTACATTTTACTGTAGCGGTAGCGGTAGCGCTCGCTACAATCTAGTCTTCTAGTGGGTGTAGCGGTAGCGGTAGAGTCCGCTACATTTAGAGCATGTAGCGGTAGCGGTAGCGCTCGCTACAATCTAGTCTTCTAGTGGGTGTAGCGGTAGCGGTAGAGTCCGCTACATTTAGAGCATGTAGCGGTAGCGGTAGCGGCCGCTACATTTCCAAGTAGCGCTGCCCAGCTCTGAACATGCCTATCATAACATTAGTCCATAACGTGTTTTTCATAAGAACGCAATATTACTACTCATTTTGTCTATTAGGATTTTTCTTGAATTTGCGTAAAAAATGAGTTTTAGGGAATATTTACATCGATGAATTACGTAGATTTCTGCTAAATCTCTTGACTTACGATGATTTTATTACAACTGCGGCATAGTTATTATTGATATATGACGATTTTATTCATAGCCAAACAGCTTATAGAAGCCTCTAAATAAATTGATTCCATGAATATTATGTATATTTCTCTACATTGTTACAAATATCGAAAATCTATTAAAACAGCCGACAGGGTACAATAATATTTTGTGTTGAATGCAGAACGCTTTGTTTACCAAGTGCGCTGCACTGTGTCGATAGTAAACTGGAACTGCTCGAGCCTGATGACGAACTGAAAAGGCTCAATTAACGATGAAAATATTTAAGCTCGTATTATCATGGATTATAGCCACTGTTTGCACCCAGCATATTAAAGCAGGTATAGTTTTAACATTTATTTGAACTTTTGAACATACCTTGAAGAAATCCTCATAGTTCTGTTCATGCTGCTCATGCATACCGTGTGCGTATTTTTTTTTAGTTCATAGTTGCCTAGCCTAAGTTGGGCTGATGAAATGGAATTGCTATCAATCTGATGGCATTAGACAGTCTTAACTGAGTTTGGCACCTATCTCTCCAGTCTCAACTCCACATGCCACCCACTTTTTAATCCATATATTACTACCTACCTAGTCAGTGCCTCACGGCGGCCATGGTGGCAATCCATAGGTTATTCAAAAGAACCTGTTCTTATGTCATTTTGAACCGATGAACGCTTCTTTACGGACCGATCGTAAAACACCTTCACCGGCAAAAGCTTTTGCACTTCTGAAGAAAGACAGCTGACAGCTACACCATAGTGGCAAACCACAGCTTTTTTAGAATCAGTTCATTTTTAATTTCCTCATTTACCCAAGATTTAAATCAATTCCTTATGTATGATACTGCTGGTATCCAGGATACTTCACTGGTCTACTTATAGGACTCACATATGAACTTGAGAGAGAATCTAAAAAACTCTCTGCTTTGCCACTATGAGCTACACTGGCCGTGGGGCGTGGTGGACCGAATTTGAATTTGAATGCATCCACTTGAAATCCTATCGACTCATTCGACTGTATAGTATACAACTACCCCCCCCCCCCGCTGAGCCGGACCGGGCGATGCTCTTGCAAACGCACAAGTACTCACAATAATTCCCTGCCACCATGCCTCACGCAGCCTCAGTGGTCACTGGTCTCAGTGGTCTGGTCAGATTTTCAATCACCCCTTGATTAGCAATCACTTCGTCACCACTCACCACCAATCCCCTTGCACAACAATCCGGTCGTTAACCGTCAGTCTGCGTCAGAAGAACTTAGAACAATCGTTTTTAAGCTGATTCTATAAGTTATTAACTTATTAATAAATTTATTTATAAATTCATAATTGCTGTTGACTGTTGTAAAGCCTGAGGCTGAAGCCAGTGGTAAAAGTCCTCTGTGGTCAGTGGTCACTGGTGAATGACTGAATGGTGATTAGTGATAAGTGGCAGAGTGGCAAGTGGGCAGTGGTGACTGCCTGGTGATTTGAGTGGCTTTGACAGTCTAGTATGGAATATATCTACTTGGCGAGCCGCGACTGAATTTTTCGAGCCGTGGTTTTATGGATTTGCCAGCCGTGATTCCATTTCTATGACGAAGTGCAAACCGCGATTTTTTAATCAAACAAAAATTTATGACATTCGAGCCGCGAGATTTCATACCTACTGAAATTATATGATATTAGAGCCGCGATATTTCAGACAAAAATAGGACTTTTCCAGACTAGCTTTGACTTGATTCTACATTCTGAACTCTTGTCTCAGTTATCTAACTTAATTTGGCACTGTTGGGCCGTTGGCAGCCTTGGCTTTATTAAGGTGTGCAAAATATTCAATTATCAATTATTTTTACTCAGGCCTGGTGAAATTTTTCTAAAGGGAAGTTCACACCTTACATTTAGTGATTTACATGGTTTGGCTAAATGCAATAATAAAGCAAATCATGAAAAATGCATTTAAGCACTTTGCTTGTTTGCTTAGCAGCTGGCGTCTCACCGCCAGCTTAGCAGCTGGCGTCTCACCGCCAGCTTAGCAGCTGGCGTCTCACAATGTTGAGAATCCTTTATACAAATTCCTTATTACTGATGGATTCTATACGATATTAAAACCAAGAGTCTGTAAAAAATATCTGGCAATAACCAGTCAATTGATGAAATATTTAAATTGGGTCTATAATTTAGACCAACCATCATGAACCATGTATAATTTTAAAGCCACTGTAATCCTGTTTGGACTCTGGTAGCTTAAACAGTTCGGAATTTCTTGTAGTTCTCTGAATAAAGAATTATTTAGGAAACCAAATACAATATATGTGATTGTTTTTTTTTTTAATTTAGCTGTTGTGCAATTGTTATATGCCTTGTATCATGTTCGCAAGTGTTATCATGAGTGTTATCTTGTTCCATTTGTGACAGTTTTTCTGTAACATATGGAGGCAGTAATCACTGTTCTCTTATTCACTTGTGCATTTTATCCTCAGATTTTCATAGAAATTGATCTCTTGTTATGGAAAACAATTACTTTTTACAACTTCTGAGCTCACATATATTATTTTTTCAGATTTTTTAAATGGGAGTATGGTTGCTGCCCTGAGAAGAGTAGATGGCAGTGGACAGGATGCAAATTATAAGCTCAATGATGTCAGTAAGGATGGTTTCAAGGTAAATGCCAACACCACTATTCAACAGACCATGCAAATCTTGAAAATAATGTGACAAGCTTTTAATGTCTGTATAATTTCTCAGTTTCTGTTAAGAAAATTTGTGTATCAGCTATGTCTGTTATGACGTAGGAAATTTTTTATTTGATTATTGTCGAGATTATATACTTCTTTCAATAAAATTTTAGTCTCTGTTTACTTTGTGTATTGAGTGTATAATTTGAATACCATATATATATATAGATGATAATGTAGTCTTCAATTTACTATGTGTACTTTTCATGGTTTCATTAATGCTGGCTAGCATCTAATGCTTCTTTATTTATCCTGATATAATTGGCTGAAGAATATTTTATACAGGTAACAACTGGCAACTCATCTCTGGATGAGACAAATGCTGATCTGCTGGCTTTGCTGCAGAACAAGAGTATGATGAACCTAACTCAACCTCTGAGCCCAAATATTGCCTCAAAACCTGACAGTCCTTCTCTCCCCAAGTTCTCCTGTCATGCTTGTGATCCGCCAGACTGTCGCAATGAAAAAATTTGCTATAGTGCCATCAAGGTAAATCAAATGCTAAAGGGTTTGGAACTTTTTGGATCATTTCATGGTGTTAGTATTGGCTCACTATGTGTGTGGTGTATTTTTTTTCTTAGCTGTATTAGATCTGCTCCCAAATTTCTCTAGATTTTTCTCGTCACTCTAACATTATTTTTTGTACGAATTTTTACACCTGTAAATGGTGATAGCATATGGCTTACATTGTACGGTACCATAATGCATTGAGTGTTTAATTAACATAACCAATTATCAACGTTTCACTGCAAACAGTGCTTCAAATCTCGGACTGGAGGCAAGACTGATAGTGCGTCAGTGTCTCGGGGATGCATCGGCGAGACGCGTCATGTGCCGCTCTTCTGCTCCTCTGCCTTCAGTCCTTCACAAACCCAGGAGAATGCCATCAATGCGGCCTACGTGGTGCAGTGTTGTGAGGGCGAGCTATGCAATGATGGCGACTTTCCCTCTCTGCCACATAATATTGGTAGGTGCATCCTCAAAAAATTAAAAGTTGATCTGATTTGTTAATTTACACCAATTTAGACCTTATGACAATGTCATTGATGCCATTATAGTGTTGTGTTATTAATATTTGTTGTCACGCAATTTCAACAGGCTTTTAAAACCGTTCATGACTGAGATTCATTTACTTTTTGTTATTAGAACCAATATTTTCTGTTACCGGTACCTCGCCTTGATTGCCATTCATTTTGATCTCATATTTTGCACCTGACATTACTTATTTGCATGCCAATATGTTATAGTTTTAATATTCATTTACTCTTTGTGAAAAAGATTTCTAACTAACTTCTGAAGGAAGATTTACAATTGTATGTAGCAAAACCAAAATTACTTGATATAAAAATTAAGGATGTTGTTAAGTAGGCAACTTAAATAAGTGGCAGCCAGTTTCATTACGGTTTCTTGAAGATTGTTCAGCATTTAATATATACTCATGTTGACAGTGACTGCAGATGTCTGGTCTGAGAATGGCCTCGTGAACGCGGTGGTGGTGACGGTGATGGTGGTGTCATGTGTGCTGATCAGCTGTGCCGTGGCCGGGGCTGCGCGCCTCTTGTGGCAGCGCATCAAGCGGCGTTATCCCAAGGGCCTTCTTGTCACCTCCGTGACAGCTAACGTACTCGACAGTGGCTCCTCAGTCAACGGTGGTACTTCAGGTAGGTGTGTGTTTCGTGATATATTGGCCAGAGATGTTATTAAACTCTATTTCATGTCCTCAATTTCGATCGATTTTCCTGATTTGTGTAAATAAGCAGCTTAATTAAGGCGTATTTATTAAAATTTGTTATTAATACAGTTATTTTTTGATAATTCAAACTGATTTAAATATTTCGTTCATGTTATGAAGCAACCTACTGATTGAGCACTAGAAAGACCTGAATTAATGATGAATTCAACCTCTGCCATGCTCAGACTTGTCATAGGAAGCCTCATGCTACTCGATCAATAGCTTAATTGTGATGTTTGCAGGCAGTGGAGGCTTGGTGCTGCCTATGCAATACAGGAAGGGGCCAGCTCCTACCGGCGACGCCTCCCTCAAGGTCTGGTCACTGTCAGGGCCTCAGTAGGGCAGTAGTTCCGTCCCTACATCCAGGGGCTGTGCTGTAAAAACTCCTTTAATTGCGTGTAGCGGCAGGTATCTCGTCCGTGATTGGTTGGTTTACACCGAAAAGCTATCAGTGATTGGCTGACAGATTTATGAACTCTTGACTATTTTTTCGAGTGCAGCTCCTGCTCGTTAAAAAGTTTAAACTAACCCTGCTTAACATAAATGGACGAAGCAGAAGAAAAGTTTATCAAATCTAGACGGACACCATTTTCATATGAAATCATGTCGTGCGTCGAGCATGACCCTATGCTTTTTAGGAAAGCATCTCGTTTCTGTAGTATTATTATACCCTCCTATTGGGGATATATTCCAAAAATTATATATGTCTCATCCTGATACATTTGTAGCTCATGAATTTTATGCAAGTTCCTATTGCAGTTTGACTGCTGGCCGCATAATATTTTGGTCTCGGGTTGACTGGAATGTTGCCATCATAATTTTCCCATTTATGTATAGACTCAGGAATAATTAACATTTATTTACCATCTCCCTGGTCAGGACTTGCTGCAAGAAGCCAGCATGACATCAGGATCTGGCTCAGGTCTTCCTCTGTTTGTTCAGCGGACGCTCGCCAAGCAGATTTGTTTGTCTGAAATTGTTGGCAAGGTAAGCAGGCTATAACATATAGCATGAGGATTACTGCTATAACATTTAGCATGAGAATTACTGTTATAACATTTAGCATGAGGATTAATTTTGCATTTTTTTTATCCAACACGTCTTGAAACTGTCGGTCTACTGACCATCAATCAGAAGCACCTTGTCATAATGATACACATTTTTAATACATTTTCCATTAAATATTGCCGTTATGTTAAGAAAAAATCAAGTTTAGTATATGATTGAAATGAAATAATGAGTTGATTATCCAGATTTATCTTAATTGTTATAATAGATTTCATTAGAAATTGTCTCCTCTATCTGACGGAAATCTACCCGTCAAAGGTTGATTAAGATTGGATGGACTGAATCAAGTTAGCTCCTTATTTTTTAAAGGCGATTACCTTCTCGGATTGTTCATGTTAATCTGTCCTTTTGTATATTAGCGAAGATTGCAGATAATCGATTTTGATTAAATTTTAAGAATTTCCAGGATATTTTCCTTCGTCATGTTCATGTGTCCTGAATTATTAATTTTTCGTCACTACCACTACACGAGTTAAGGAAGTTCTATATTAACTGTTTGTATTATAGGGCCGCTACGGGGAGGTGTGGCGAGGCGTGTGGCAGGGCGAGAGCGTCGCTGTCAAAATATTCTTCTCCCGGGACGAACTTTCGTGGGACAGAGAAACTGAGGTCTACAGGTCAGGCTTAATATGAATAAATAAAAATAATCTATTAACATTTGCTTTGAATATTCTGATGATGTGCATGTAACTGTCCAAGTTGTGAGCTTGTATGCACCGCTGTCCAGTGGGGCGAAGACAACGCATTTGTCATCCATTGAGGTACTAAGTTATTCCATTATGGGAATTTTGCACCCGAAACCTAAAATCCAATGGGTTTCTATCTCCAATTTAACAACTTGTTGCAAAACTTCATATAATGACGCACTATTTTAAAACTAATTTATGTAAAAGAAGCCACGGAAAAAAATTAAAGACTCGCGTATCTCATAACCAGTGACTGCTTGTTGACATCAGGTACCAATGATGGCCCGGAATATCTTTTTTCTATGTATTTCGTTCCAATGCGCCCAGCCGAATCCATTACGTGGACCTCACATCGCTCGATTTTTTGTCAGCGACATTAAAATGTTGACACTTTCGGCGATGAGAATGTACATGACTTCATCAAGTGTCTGGCGTCAAGTATTGTTGCTACGCTGCGAGTATTTTGGTCGCCTGGATTTTATGCGCTCTCTGGAATTCGATTGCCGTTTGTAAAGCATTGTTTTGGAAATATCTTAAAGCCTTTATATTGGAACTCAAGCACAAATACGACATGGATTTTCCGGATGATAGTGAACACTGAAAGGAGAAATTTTTGTACTAAGGATAGAAATTGAATTCCCGTCCAGGACCGAGAGTTATCTTCAGTCTGTATTAATGGCAAGTCTCTGTTGACCATGAAATGTTGAGACCGCATTTGTTGACCTGCATCATGCTTATGGTGGCATTTAGTCACAGCATAAAATAAAATATGTGCATCCAACATGGTTCATGAGTTTATCTCACTCTGACTGAAGGAAACATTTCAACTAGTATTACATGCATATTTCCTGGAATATGTATATTATATATACATATAAATATCATCATGTCGCGCTAAAGCTGAAATGTTTTTTCCACTCTAGAATATTCAATTAGCACCATTGTGATTAGTACCTACTTTCTTCAGTCCGATCTTGAAAGTAGAACTGGAGCTTCTTCTCCAATCAAGTGTCAAAAAAGCTTTATATCAGCTGAAAAAAAATTTCAACTCGTATATTTGTTTCGACTCGCAGGTAGCTCTATTTTGGCCATAAATATAAGAGGTAATGATAATGTTGCTGCAGCACAGTGGTGCTGCTGTAAGGAATATGTATGGTAATGAAGGCATGCTTACAGCACGGTGTTGCTGCTGTAAGGAATATGTATGGTAATGAAGGCCTTTTTACAGCACGGTGTTACTGCTGTAAGGAATACGTATGGTAATGAAGGCCTCTTTACAGCACGGTGTTGTTACGTCACGAGAACGTGCTCGGCTACTACGGTTCAGACGTGACGTCTGTAGGCTCATGCACGCAGCTGTGGTTGGTCACACACTACCACCCGCTGGGGTCGCTCTTCGACCAGCTGAGCACTGGACCGCCCCTCACGCACGCTGCCATGATCAACATTGTGCTCTCCACCGTCAACGGCATCAACCATCTCCACACGGAGATATTCGGCACCCAGGGCAAGCCTGCCATCGCTCACAGGGACATCAAGTCTAAAAATATACTTGTCAAGGTATGCAAAGTAATGTAATGAAGAAAATTTTGAATTTTGGGGCGTTTTCGTTCACACAGAATATTGAGACTGATAACCGCGGTATCTGATGAATGGAATCTTATCCTTGAGCGATTGTTTGCAAATTAAGAAGGCTTCAGTAATAAAGTGAATAATTGCATTATGTATAATTCGATGATATGGAAACGCTTCATGTTCAATAAAAACGTGCCATTTATTTTTAATATAGAGCAAAGTGATTCATCATTGCTTGCAATACGTTTGATATTATAACTAACCGATAAGCAATAATTGATTGGCTCCAGAAAAGTTATAATTCTAATGAATTTCATGTAGAATGACGGAACTTGCTGCATTGCCGACTTCGGCCTGGCGGTGCTGCATTCACAAGCCGCGAACGAGATCAACATCGGCGACAACCACCGCGTCGGCACCAAGAGATACATGAGCCCTGAAGTATTAACTGAGAGGTGCGTGAGATACACGAGTCCTGAAGTATTAACTGAGAGGTGCGTGAGAACCTGAAGTATTAACTGAAAGGTGCGTGAGATACACGAGTCCTGAAGTATTAACTGAGAGGTGCGTTCATTCCTGCTCAACTGCCGACCGAACTAAGAAATGAGCCATCAAGGCTCTGGCTGTCCACAGAAAACTTATTCACTTTTCAGATTAAATTATTCCTTCAATTAATTGTGATTCAGAATAGAATTTTCTCTATTTACATTTGACGCATAACGTTGGCTACAGATTGGAATATCATTCCAAATATCTTGGCCTATGTTACATTAGTAACTATGTACATTGCGAAGAATGAAGCGAAATTTTTTCATCTTGAGAGTTATTGAGTCGGTAGAAAAATGCACGTAATTATTATTCAACATAAATTTATGCAGTTTAACGTTTCTCACTACCGTTAAACTCGTATATTTAAATTGTTTTCTGTTTGGCCTCAAATCAGAATGTAAATTACAAGTTTCCCTGTTGTCAATAGTCCATGTATATAATTGTTTTCAGCTTCGACCCGAGTCAGTTTGAGAGTTTCCGGCGCGCCGACATGTATGCGCTCGGCCTCGTCCTGTGGGAAGTGTTGCTCCGATGCCTGAGCAACGGGCGAGCGGAAGTTTATTATCCGCCATACGGCGACCTGGCGCCGCACGATCCTTCGTTCGAGGAGATGATCGAAATTGTCGTGACAGAGCAGCGGAGACCAGAGCTGCCCCCACGCTGGGCTGCTGATCAGGTGCTGTTCTAGGCTAGTTGCATTTGAAGTCTAGTAGTTTGACTAGAATTACAGTGCTAGTGCTTCTTAAGCAAATGATCGAGAATTTGAATCCGGTGTATTTTCTTTGCCATTTCGCTGAGCAGTATTCATTAATTCAAGTTTGTACATTCAATAGAGACATGTGCTTGATTTCAAGGTATTCTGAAGCATTATGACTTCAAAAAAATGATAAGTATAGTCATTAATATTTTCCCTCATTATTGATATATAATTGCACGGCAGCTCGTGTGGGGCGTGGCTGACGTAGCCCGCGAGTGCTGGCACGCCAACGCGTCTGTTCGTCTCAGCGCCCTCAGGGTCAAGAAGACGATCTTGAAGCTGGCAGAGCGCCACCACAGCCTGCCTCACGCCTCACTCCTGTCTGACTGAGCCAGTCTCACGCCTCACTCCTGTCGGACTGAGCCAGCCTCACACCTCACTCCTGTCTGACTGAGCCAGCCTCACGCCTCACTCCTGTCTGACTGAGCCAGCCTCACTCCTGTCTGACTGAACTCTTCGCTAGCTCAGCTCACCATTTCTCTATTTACAATTTTCAAACAAACTTCTCGTGCCGCCTGGTCGACTCTGATTGTCTGATGCGAAACAAATTATCAACTATATGATCTGCCAAGTTTTATCATAGTCTTCATTCTTCTAATATCATCTTTTTCAACAGATTTAATTTTTTTATTTCTTTTTGATTGGATTTGAATTGAGAACTCAAAATGATTTGTGCAATTTGTCCTTTTGACAGAAATCTTGAAAGAAATACAACGAAAAGCTACGTAGTAAACTTGTATTTGTGAACAATGATTGCATGTTCGAAGTTGTTTCTATTCCTATTTCACAATCTCGTAGATGTCCAAAATCAACTCTTTCATTCTAAGCTATATTTTTGGTTGAGGATGCGCTGGTGTTACAAATGTGTCACTGCACAAGGGTGTTGTCGTTCAAACCCATCTCCATCATTATCATTTGCTGATCACATTTTATTTTAACGTTATTGCGAATAAGGGTCAAGCCTGCCAGTAAATTGGCTTGGTAGCTACCCGAATAATGTATGCATAAATTCCCTGAATAATGTATGCATAAATTTCTTGAATAATGTATGCATAAATTCCCTGAATAATGTATGCATAAATTTCCTGAATAATGTATGCATAAATTTCCTGAATAATGTATGCATAAATTTACTGAATAATGTGTGCACAAATTTCAAACTCTTTGTCTCTCGACTGATCAAATCCATATCAGAGCAATTAAAACATATTGAATAGTTTTATGTCTTGAATCCAAGAATACCGTACCTATCATTTCATGTCATAATTTTATTTGGTGCTTATCTATTAATGTATTAAGAATGTTCTTATATTTCTAATAGCTTGCTTAATTGTGTTCTTGCGTGCGTGTGGCTAATATGTGAATGTGTTCATCACCTGAGTGTGCACGCTTGCCCTCATTAAATGAAACAATTAAAGAGCTATTGATTAGATTTAACTTGTTCTTCAAAGTTCCACTCAATCCTGTAATCGTCCTCTCCAGCTTGGCGATGTTGTGATTAATAATTCGTTACAATATCGATCTATAATTCAGATTAGAACCAACATTCATTTTCTCTCGATTATTTCAATTTAGTTGCGCTACGCTGCCAATTTAATAATGTATTTTCCTATATTTTGTATGTGCGAGATGGCTGTTCCTCTTAATTTGTAACAATACCTAACAACTTGTTTATGTATCTTCATGTGTGGTGGCATCAGAACTTCCGTGTTGTCTTTGGTTGTGTACGCGTCTGACGGGAGCGCGAGAACGGCCCAGTGTGTGTCATTGTTCGTTTGTGTCGGGAATGTTTAGCCATCAAGTGCCTTTTGAACGTCCAAGACGTTAGATTAGATTCAACGTTTGCCGCCCAATGTCATTTTTATCTTTAACTGCGTATTATATTTTTTATCTTTTACATTTAATGCCCGACATTCTCGTGACGAACTCTATTTTTTAATTGTAGAACATACTTGCAGCGATTATTGTAAAAGGATTTTGATTTTTTTTTGAGAATTTTCGGGTTTGGGAATCCTTAATTCCCTGGCATCTTTGTATCAGAGGCCGTTCAACGGATCATGTGCCATATAAATACTTTAATGCCTGAAAGATTTTGCGCTGCTACTTTATGTTTAAAATTATCAAGAAATAGAGTGATAAAAACTTCATTGAGTCTTAGTTTAGGCTTAGAAATTCCTTTTGTGTGACTTGAGCTTTCATTGTTAAGTTCACTGCTACGTTAGTTTAAGGCTTTGCGTGACTATTCTACTAATGAAGATAACTGGACACTTTACATGTACTATCAGTGTTGTGTGGTGATTCGTAACTTAGATATAAGTGCTGATAGAATACATAAAGTTCTGTCCGGTTAATGTTCTGTACAAAACTACTCAATTTTGGACATCCTGCGAACTTTTCGATTTTGTGACTGAACGGTCTACTGATGATTCATTACGGAATTTATTCGAGGTAATTTAGCTTTTAAATATTATGCGTTAATTGAGACTTGTTTCTGATGCGACTAGGACCTCGCGCTCTGTCTTAATAGATTTCAGCGAGCACTTTAATTATACATTGTCTCATAGATGTAATGATGGGACTTTCTTTTATTGGTTTTCATGTGTTGATCTTGCCATATTTTGCCATTTAGTTGATTATTAAGTATTTGTTAGCCTTTCAATTACCTTTTTTCTTTAAAATTCTAATGTTAAGGAATTGTTTGTTTCCTTAGCATTAATTTCTAATCCTTTGAATTCTGCCATTTTACTCTGGCAAAATTTTAAATCTAATTATACATGATGACTAAATTAATTTTCTGGGAATTGAGTCAGGACATTTCTTCAAACTTGCGCGTTGCTTTGTTGAAGCCAATTTGATTCACTGACAATAAAATGATGACATTAAATTGCTATTATAATATCATTCAGTATGAAATGAAAGTATTTTTGACAATTTCTTGCCGTCACAGTCGACATGTCGCTTGTTGGTTGTACGTGTGCTAGTTGTATGTGACAAGATTTTTGTACAGAAGCAATAGGGGATCTGAATATTTTAGTCAAAACTAATGTCATGTTAAGTTAATCGTACCAACTTTTCAATAGTCATATCAGGCAATATCATAGATTTTAAGAACTAACCACTACTTTTCCTATTTTATCTCGAAGATATCCTACTTACTTCAAAAATGTTTATTATACGATTAGGTTCAACTATAATTTTGATGTGATGTATCTGCAGGTTGTTACTAGGCGACATTTTCAGCTCTTGATGGGAAAATCAGTTGTTCGCTAAGCTGAACTTTGTATTTGTTTCGGACGTACTAGTAGTTCCAGGCTACGATGGATCGCCGCCTCTGACCATCGCGCATCCGGCCTCATTTGGGCCACCTGATGAACGATGCTGTTGCTTGCTTCTCGCCGCTGGTAGTGGTGCAGGGGCGGACGATCAGGGATTGTGCCCAGGAACACGTCCAGTCGTTTCTTGAGGGTCTCCAGGGTGAACTGCCCCTATCTTAGATCCTTTGGTACTGGGCAACTAGTCCGGCTATCATAATAATAAGGACATAAAATTGAAAATTCATACTCTCCTGGAAATTTTGAGACAACCATTTATATCAAATAATCCAATATTCTGGTATTTGACTGGCTTGGTGTGGTAAGTGTTATTGGTTAATAAGGTGGGTTGATCACGGGAATATCGCTTGCGATTGCTCCTTGTCTTGGATCTCGAATACGTCCTCTTGTGTTCTTCTGCCATTGATCGTGCCATATTTGCTTTAAATATCCTGTATTTTTAAAATTTGTTGTTGACTGAACTTTGGTACTCCAAGTTTGTATACCAAATTATTCTCTGTTTATTTTCTTAGGTTAAAACTTTTTCACGTTGGAAAGTTTATGTGACATCAAGTTCAAACACTAGCAGGGCCTCTTTCACTCCGAATACTCGGTAAGAATAAAGGCTTTGAAAAGTCTGAAGGAATTATTCCAGGACTATTACCCCCATAAAATTTACTATTGAGCTCTAATAATTGAATTGGGTAAGGCCAGCGTTTACAAGACCTATCATCTTTGGCAAATCCGATTATTTAAGTATATATAGTTCAGGAACGTGTGATGGAAGTTGAGCGCTTAATGTCGTAGATGCTTCTGTGTGCAATGAACTGTAAATAATATTGTGATATCGCTCTTGATTTATTACTCGCCTTGCCAATAAATGCATTTTCATTGATGTTTTTGTTTCCTTTACCTGTAAACTGTATTCGTTTCTTATTGAGGCATTCTTGTAAATCTAATCGCTACCTTGCAAGTTTACAGCAATCTATTGCATCATTTACAACGTTTTCTCTGGATTAGCACTCAATGGTGTCCTCGGCACCTGATCTGGTCTTTACTGCAGCATCGCACATAAGAAACATCGCAGACTTGTTTTCTTTATGAACAAGAATTGCGTCGTTTGTATCCCCTGGCTACAGAGTGGAAGCAGAGGCGTTTTGAGTAAACGTATACTCGGTTTACAGTTGGTACTGGCCTCTATTTTACTTCCTACCAGTGCGTACTAATGTAATTGATCCATCTATGAATCTCATCAATAAACCTTTTAGGTTCAGACGATATTACGAGGCCACGAACTAAAGAAACTTGATGGTTTATTCCCCCTAGGATGGAATTCAGACGGGTGTCAATGCTCGTCAGAAGTCCTATGGGATTTCGCGCAGTCAGCGGGATTGTACCTGAGCGCCCACCGCTGAACTCGCTGTGTTTTACTGCGCGCCTCAGTTGTGGGGTTAAGTTATTATGTAGGTAGGATTCCTTACATTTCCCTTCTCTGTCTCTCGTGCGGGCGGCCGACGTCCCGTGTAAGCGACCATTTGTTCGAGTGTCTTCGTTTCTGTTGCTTTTCCCCTGTCCCTCCTTGTTGACACTTCGTCTCTTTGAGATGTTACGCTGCTTCTTTCGATCCAGCGGGTTGGACATGCGAGACCTTCCGCCCTTGTGAGTGATGAAAATTTTTTGATTTTAAAAACTTTCGATATATTGAGACCTTACACCTCTTTGTAGATGTTCATCCTGATTCCTGACCTCCGGTGCGAGATAACAACTAAATGGCTGAAGAGCTAGTAAACATGTGGCCACAACACTAAGCTTGATAGTATATTAATTTTCATCTCCGTGCAAGTTAACACTAACCGTAACAATTATGTAAGAATTTTTACAACTCAGTTTGAACGAGTAACCTGACGGGACCCAGTTGGTAGTGAACAATTGGGGAACACGACACGTATACTGACAACACACAGAGAGCAAGATCTGGATGAATAGTCTGTTGCCGATTAAACTGATACTAACGCGACGTGTTGCTATCATGTACATAGCTTCCGGAGGCACGTAAAGGTTTGGACGAGAGTTGTGAACATCAACTCTACACACAGTTACTTGGCTCTGAACTAATGTTGTTTAGATTTTCCCATGTCCGGGAGAATATTCGATGAGTAGCGATAGTTGGGATGCCTGTGTGAACTGCCCTGCTTCGAATGATCCCTCCTCTCAAGAACAGTCTCCAACATTTATGATTGTTGGCCTTACGGAAATATGCTAGGCGTTCCACTCAGGGCTGCTTGTACAAAATTGGTGTTATAAACCCCCACGACACGAGCCGCACCAGGATGCTCACAATTAGGTATACGGTACTCGTACGCGGAGTGTAAGTAGCCTAGAGTCCGAGACAAATGAAACATTGATTAAAAGCATTATCAGAGGGGAACCAGAAGTAATATCGCATAAAAGAATCACAGTACTAAAAAGTTTAACGCAATGAAAGAAAAACATACGGCTAGACCTATTTTTGAACAGCCTCCACAATTACATCGTTGGGGGCGCATGCCGGAGGCCAGCTTTGCCATACTTTACACTTGGTTCATATTCGTTTCCATAGGTAAGAACGCTAGAGTGCACAACGACCTATGAATTCGAATGCTCAAAGCCATAGCGCCGGATGTCCACAGCCACAAAATAAGCTTGCCAAAGGTAAACATGGCCATACTGCATCTGGCCTAACCTCCTCAGGCATAACCTATACGAGCTGCAACTGTTCTTCATCCAAAACAAACCTGAGCGGACCTAACCTAACCTCATTGGCTCAAGAAGTTGGAAAGGCGGTCCAAGTGTGCTGGTAGAGCCAGTCATTGGCTGCAAGAAGGTTGTGAGCCGGGACAGCGTGAATAGGTTAGGTCAGAATAGGTTAGGCCGGAGTAGGTACAGCCGGATGGGGAACTGCCTGTTTATGAGCGAGCATGCTTAAGCAGTGGCTGAAGACCTACGGCGCTATTATCTTTCGGCAGTATGTCGCTTGTCTGGATTACGGAGTTCAAGCGTAGTCTGCGGCTTCTAGTTCTGAGGCTGAGTAAAGTTAATGCATGCATGTGAACCTAGGCGTTGGCTCCAGGGCTTATTTAAGAGTAAAATTTGTGGCATACGGCTGCCCCCATCGTTGACGCTCCAAGTATAAACGCGTTCAAGAATGGACTAGATAAAACTATGGAGAAATACGTGTTCAGACTTAAAATGCCTAGCACCATATCGAACCCAGTGGAAGTTTAGTAAATATTTCAAACTATCGACAATTTGGAAATGATCCGGAACAAGCAGAAGGACCTATTTTTAAATCTCATATAGTCACGAAAAGTACAAGAATCGGCGACAGGCCACATCAGGCCTATTCTTCAGCGCCGACTTAACTATGCTATCATGCTATGTTATAGTTAAGAGAAACATAGGATTGTATCAATCATATCTACGCAATATATGTAGACCGGCAAATGGGTACCACAAACAACTGAGGTAGGCACCACAAACAAAATAAACTTGGACAGTTTAGAGTGTTAGACTCTGGTTTATGAATGACCACTCGTCATTATTGGATTTATTGCTAGAGTTAGCAATTAGCACAAACTTCTAAGTTTCATGAAAACACACTGTCGATAATATGCATTGAAATTACTGGGCTTTTGAACTT